AAATCTGCATAATCAAGCTCATTAATGGAAAATTTTAATGATTTTTAGCATAATGTCTTTAAAATATAACAGTACTCTATAATCCCCATGCAACCAGTATCCTAGGCAAAGACTCAGGGCTTGTCTGTGTGTTTGTTCATTCAGCATTTCTGCCTTTAGTTTTCCACACCAGTGAACAGAAATCCACCCCCACGTGTAACTCGTGAGGAAAAGTAAACACTTAGTTTATGTCCGTGGGGATCTTGTTGCTGAGCACACAGCAGATCTCAGGTGGCCAGCAGTGAGAAATGGTAATGTAACCCATTTCCTCTTGCCCACATCCATGCCAAGCTGGAATTTAAAGTGTTTGGACTAACACTGAATCACGAACTAACTTATTCTTTGTGGAGCCATAACCCCAAAATGGCCCTAATCGCGGCATAAGCTAACATTTCATAGCTCAAGTCATAGTCACAAAACACCCAAGACAGTTACTGAGTACAATTTTGTCTTTTCTAGAAGAGTCATACTATTGAAACTCCCTCAAATTCGAATTAATAAGTGATATAACAACTAAGAGCATCCTTAATTTTCCACACTTAAAAAAATGAGTTATAAATTGAACTTCAGGTTGTTCCCTTCCTACAGAAGCAGATAGGATAAGCAATCACTACCACATAGCAACCATTTATGCTTTTCAGCACCAGTACAGTGGATTTACTAAGACAACCTACCAAGTCGAAACACAAGCTTTCCAGTGAATTCTAAATGATTTTTGATTTCTCTGAACATGCCCATTTGGCTCCTGGACTGGTTTTAGCAGGGGCACATTTGTTTAATGGGGAGCAACAGATCTCCAAAACAAGGTAGGAAAAGAAATTTCTAGAATGTGGAAACTGATGTAGCTAGCATAAAGAATTACAGGTAATTTTCTGTCTTTCCTTTGCCAACCTTGGGAAAGACCCAAGAATTATCCTACCATGGGACATGAAAGGTTAAAAGTAAAAGTACAAAATAGTAAAATGGACTCTTACTGTAACTGCCTAGAAATCTTCATCATGGGGCACTTTGAATATTAGACTTTTAATATGAGACTACAATTCCTATGAAACTGTTCAGACTAGAGTAAGAGAACTAAAATTTCCATACAGAGAATATAGGGCTATTCAGAGGGGCAGGCTTCATGATAATACTTTATTTCCCCAATAAGGAGGAGCCTGAAGCCAGAAAGGAATAATTAAATGACTTAGTTATTTTTTTTCCTGATAGTCCTGGTCCTCCTCCTCTAGTCTTCCCTTTGGATTATATCACCTATTCTACGAACACTGGGGTTTGTTTTTGTTACGGCAATGCTCAGAAGGGAAATGGTCCTTTTACAGTAGGAGAGAATCCCTCTACTGGTTGTTTCTTCAAATTGCAGGTCAGCACTCAATGGTTCAGAATTTTTTTTTTTTTTAAGTGAAAATATGTATTGGATATAGTAAGTGTAAGTGTTTTTCAGTGAAACCTGTTTCCGTTATGTATTGATGAATGCAGGATCAAGATTACTTGCCTGTCTGAAACCTTCAGCACCCGTGGGCTGCATACAGTCAGCCACAGAATTAGGGTGAGGCGAGTGAGGCAGGTTAAGTAAATGTTGGGTAGGATCCTGTCTCTATTTAAATTCTGATATTTTGTTTATTGTGGATTCTTGCATTAATTTTGATTTTTAAAAAGAACTTTACATTTAAATAGGATTGAATTTTATTACTGCACTTTTTTATGCCCCCTTAAATGTTGTGCCTCAAGTGAGCGCCTCGCCCTGACCTTCAGTATGTGTCTCACAGAGGGAATGGAGAGAGTGGGAGTCTGGGAATCCAACACACACATGGGAATGAGAAGCTGACAATGTGTGACTCTTCTTCTATCTCAATGCAGGAAGTAAACGCATCAGCTAAGAGTGAGGAAGACAGTCCTCAGAGAGGGGAGACTTAGCATGGCTGGTGAAGAGACTGGGAGAGGGAGAAGGTCGGGACAAGTGAAGGACAGTCACACAGCACGGAGTGCCCTGCCCACAGCTGGGTATGGCCATTGGCAGGGATGCTGCCTATGGGTGTCACACCTTCCCCAGCAGCCTGACGGGTGTTGTAGGAGCAGAGAAGACGGGGTGACCTGAGGTCTGGGGCTGTTGGAAGGATGGGAACCGAGGAGAGGAGGGCGAAGGTGCCAGATGGTTCCTCATCCAAGGCAGGGAGGTGGGTCAGGAGCTTGCTGGGTGGGGTGAGGGGGTTGGGGGCAGGGAGAGGGGGGCAGAGTGTTCTAAATGAATATAGAGAGGTGGTGGTTGAAGATGAGTGTCCTGGAGAGTATGTGTACTTGAGTTTAGAATTTAGAGGGAATGAAGTTCCAAGCGAAGCCACATAAAGGACTTTCTTGCTGATAAGTTGTCTTGTGTGTAGTAGAGAGGAAATGTAAACACAGTGGTGCATACATCATAAAATAAGGCTTCCTTAAACTTTCAAGTGTCTTTTTAAAAATATATATATTTTTTTATTGATTTCAGAGAGGAAGAGAGAAGGAGAGAGAGCTAGAAACATCAATGATCTGAGAGAATTGTTGATTAGCTGCCTCCTGCATGCCCTTTACTGGGGATCAAGCCCGCAACCAGGGCATGTGCCCTTGACCGGAATCAAACCCGGGACCCTTCAGTTCGCAGGCGACACTCTATCCACTGAGCCAAACCAGCTAGGGCATAAAGTAATATTCTGATGATATGTCATAGAATTGTATACTTGAAATCTATGTAATTTTATTAACCAATGTCACTCCAATAAATTTAATTTAAAAAAATTTCCTCCACTACAGTGTGGTGAAAGTTTGAGTGTCGTGAAGAATACTTGTGGCCATAGCTTTTCTCCCAAATGTTCCTCCTCCTGCCAACTCTGAACAGAAGGAAAGTTATTCATAGGAATATTACTTACCAAATCCTACGGGAACTACTATCAATATGAGCTACTTGTTAACCATCAGTGGCTATTTACTTGCTAAGATTATATAGAGTACTTGTAATTAGAGCACTAGATGCTCATCACAGTATCTAGGGAAAAATGAAAGTTTTCTTTTGTAGTTAGTGCCAAAGAATTCATCTGGCTGCAAGAGCAGATTCTATCAGGTATCTTGAGTATTATTACTTATAAAACAGATGACAGTATTGTGTTTGGGGCAGTGAAATTAAATCCCATACCAAAGTGGGCCAAGAGCAGGTGTCAGCCTGGGACAGATGTCAGCACCAGGGACAAAACAAAAAGAATAGTCATGTAATCCTTTGAACATATTTGGAACTATAAACTGCAAATATAAATTCTGGATTGGTAACTATCATTTAGGACTATGCTGTCCAATATAATAATCACTAGCCACATATGGCTATTTAAGTTTAAATTAATTAAAATTAAATAATTAAAAATTAAGTAAAATTCAGGTCCTCAGTTGAATTAACCACATTTCAACAGCCACGTGTGGCTCGTCACTGCTGTGTTGGGCAGCACAGACAGAGAGCATTTCCATCACTTCAGAAAGTTCTACTGGACAGACTCGATACAGCACTTAAACCTTTTCCAGTATATGTGGGTTTTTCGGTGGGGGTAGGGAGAACTCCAAAAATTTTCTATGGTAACCCATATTTATCACTGTTTCCTGATCACCTCATACACTGTAACACAAATCACTGAAATATGTTTACCATCACAGCTCTCCATTCTACCAATGCACATAATACAACCAATTAAAATGTGTTGGCTGGATCAAATAACCAGGACAAGAGAAAAACAAATATGGAAACACTAACTCTTTATCCAAACATGGTTTCACTTATGAATGCATGTCCGAAATCAGGCCAACGCCATTTCTGAGCCCCATCTTGTCACCTATTCTCATCAACTATTATATATTTTTTAAAGTTAGTTTTACATTAGTAGCAAGGTATAATTAAATTTATGTAATGACTCTGACCTGTGCTAGAGTCAATAAAATTGCTACCAGAAATGCTGAGAAAATCCCAGTTATAGAGTAATCACCAAGAAAGCACAAGATATGAGCAACATGACTAAATAATGATGATGATGATGATAATAATATATAAAAAGACTTGTGCAAGTTAAGACAACCAGATCTAACAGCATTATTGATTTTTTTAAAAAAATATCAACTGTATAAAGTCCATAATCTGGACTTTTTATTTCACATTTGCTTTCCCTCTGTTCTGGTCAACCATGAATCTTCCAAAAGTACCATTTTAAATACATCTTATCACATTACTAGGTGATAAGATTATTTTCTTGATTCTTTATCTGATTTTCGAGGTTGTTTGCCCAACAAAAATCACACTTAAAAAGCGATCCATGATTGCAATTCACCGGAATGAAAACAAGTAATTCAATGAAGATGGCAAATACTTAACTGAGAATATAGTTTTCACAAGTATTGGGCAGGTCATGGTTTATAACCATAGATCCTAGTTGTACATAAAAATCATGAGCCTGAGACATGATAGTATATATACACATTCTGATTAAAAATCAACTGCTGAGCACGCTTCTGGGCCACGGAAGAGTCATGTACTGCACAGCCGGCATAAAGCTCGCTGTGGGGTGCGGTCTTTATCCCCCCTACATAGCTTGAGCTGACAAAGGCGACTTAAAATTTTCCCCTCAAAACCAATTGTTGGGAGATAAATATTATAATTAAATAAGGAATTGAACTCCCAATAAGTCATAGAAATCAAAATGTGGGTTGTCCCTTATCTCAATTCCCTCTTGATAATGTCTCTATCTGTTACCACCTGCACAGTATTAACAGACTTAACGCTCAAGAGCCGCTGGTTAAACAGACAAGAGTGGTGAAGACTGGGAGGGGCTGGTGCGTGGAGAAGGAGTCAATGGGGAAAAACAAACAAACAAACAGGACATCTGTAATACTTTCAACAATAAAGATAAATTTTTAAAAAAAGAGTCCTAGTCCACTCAGCGTTTAAGCTGGGAAACATGTGTGAGACCACACATCCCTGGTGGCTACAGCACCGGGCCACAGGGCTTGGAAGGAAACAGTTTTATTTTGAGCAGAGTGCAAAGACAATGCAGCACTTCGCAGCTACATTGTAACTAGATCCTGCTTCTATTTATTAAGGAAATAATTAGACATTAAGTGTCTTAATTAGCAATACTGGGGAATAGCCTTCTTATCACATCAGAAACTGAAATTCCTGGCACATATTTTTCTCAGAAGCCAGTCTAGCCCTAGCCAATTTAGCTCAGGAAATAGAGCACTGGCCCAAGGGCTGAAGGGTCTTGGGTTCGATTCCGGTCAAGGGCCTGTACCTGGATTGCAAGCTTGATCCCTGGCCCTGGTGGGGGAGCGGGTGGCAACCGACTGATGTCTCTTTCACATCAATGTTTCTCTGTCTCTCCTCTTCCCTTCCATTCTCTCTAAAATCAATAAAAAAATATCCTCTGGTGAGGATTAACAACAACAAAAAACAAAAACAACAAAAAGAAGAAGCCCATCTACCTTTGCCCCACGTTCTGAAAAAGAACAGCCTATGTACTTGCTGGTCTCTCATAACTCACAAAGAACATACAATTTCCTTCCCTACAGTATTTTAGAGGAAAATCTCAGAGTTCATCTCAGAGTCACAATAAAAAGCCATTTGATTTCTCTCTCATCCCTATTATCGGAAGAGACCAGTTAGAAATTCACTCTATTAATTTCGCCTAAATACAGATATTACTGTACCTAATCTAAGAATAAAATGCCCTGGACTTAAAAAAAAAAAAGTTAATCTTATTTTTTCTACTAACCGGTACCATTATTTTCCTTCTTGTGTTTACTCTGCTAGCTTTATTACAAATACTATACATAGACATGATACTAGGCTCTGCTATTTTAGCACAGAGCTTAAATAAGAAGGTTAAAAAAAATCGTGGGTAGGCTGGCTGGTGTGGCTCGGTGGATGAGCATTGACCTATGAACCAGGGGGTCATGGTTTGATTCCCACTCAGGGCACATGCCAGGGTTGTGGCTTGATCTCCAATGGGGGACGTGCAGGAGGAAGCTGATCAATTATTCTCTCTCATCATTGATGTTCTATCTCTCCCTCTCCTCCCTTCCTCTCTGAAATCAATACAAATATATTTAAAAAATCCTGGCTACAGTTTTTTAGTATATCAATTAGAATAACATTACCCTCTTTCAAAATTATTATAAAATGTTGAACCTTTCAAGGGTCAATTCTTCCTTCTTCACCAGAATTTGAAATGGATCTCATGAATTGATGACTTGCAACAGATCGACTGGCATCAGGCAGAAAGCAGCACAACCTTAAAAAGAGACAATAACTAATTATGTTGACACATTAATGAAGCAGCGATAATAGTTTTCATAAATAATACTTGGAGAAAAAAATGTTTGAGACCAAGCGTCCCTGTCTTACTACGGAAATGAGTCAGACAGAGATTGTAGGAAACACTTACTCTCAGCAGGGGGTGGGACAATATAGCACTTCACAGCTATATTGTAACAATTAACCCAACCTGCCAGCTACAAAAAAATCATGTCATGATTTACTTGTATTTAATTTCTGGTAAATCTCATGGATTTGATCTCTCAACTCTTGGCTCAACATATTTATTTGCTTCATCCCAAACAAGCATCTTGATCCATTTTGGAAAATTAAAAAATAAGTCTTACTTAAGTGTGGGTTGTGCATAGAACCTTCCTTCCAAAGATTATGGTAGGGACTGGCAGGGAAGAGGAACTTTAAGTGGAGAAACCTCACAAATACTACCTCAGCCAGGTGAGCAAGGTCAATACCAAATCAAACCCTTGATGTAATGAGAAAATGGCACTTTAACTCTGTGGTCTTCCTCTCCAAAATCCCTAACCCAAGTCTAAGCTTAAGAAAAACATCAAATTTCAAATGTATCAGACCAATACTCCTCAAAACTGTCAAGGTAACCAACCCAGGTGGGATCCTGGAACAGAAAGACAGTAGGTAAAAATCAAGGAAATCTGAATAAACTCTGGACTTTGGTTCAAGATAATGTACCAATGTTGGTTCATTAATTTTAACAAATGTACCCTACTAATATAAGATGTTAATAATATGCCTAACTGGGTGCAAGGTATCTGGGAACTCTGTACTGTCTTCTCAATGTGTCTGCAAATCTAACACCATTCTGAAAAAATAAAGCCTATGAAAGAAAAGTCTTGCCAGATGGCGTGGCTCAGTGGTTGAGTACTGACCTATGAACCAGGAGATCACAATTTGATTCCTGGTCAGGGCATATGCTCAGGTTTCGGGCTTAATTCCCAGTGTAGGGTGTGCAGGAGGCATCTGATCAATGATTCTCTCTTATCATTGATGTTTTTCTCCCTCTCTCCCTTCCTCTCTGAAATCAATAATAATATATTTTTTAAAAGTTTTAGCCCTAACTGGTTTGGCTCAGTGGATGGAGCGTCGGCCTGCAAACTGAAGGGTCCCAGGTTCGATTCCAGTCAAGGGCATGTACCTTGGTTGCGGGCACATCCCCAGTGGGGAGTGCGCAGAAGGCAGCTGAATCGATGTTTCTCTCTCGTCGATGTTTCTAACTCTCTATCCCAACTATTCCTCTCCCTTCCTCTCTCTAAAAAAATCAATAAAAATATATTAAAAAAAAAAAGTCTTTGTATCACTTCTAGATATTTATGCATGGCAACTGGCTTAAACAATTAGGCTAATTATTTTTCTTTACCATATCCCACATATTATGGTTAAAAAATACCCTAGGAAAAACATGGTAATACTTACAAAGATATCCTCTATTTAACATCTCCTGTTCTCCCTGGAGTACCAGTAACCAGTATGTGCTGGGCCAGTCTGCATTTTTGCATTTCATTTTTGAACACCAATTCCACAAAGCAGGCATGACAAGTTGTTCCCAGACAGTATTCAAGAGCAAGAGTTATCTTTTGGATCTAAAAGTCAAAAGCTTTAAGTCATTATGTTGCAGAAATAAAGGCTCCATCAAATGATTTCCGAAGCACACGGCTAAATGCCAAACTGTTCATATTCAGTTTAAAATTCTGGTCTGCAAGCAGCTTTTGTACAGCACAACACAGAATCACTTCCAAATTTACAACTACTCAAACTGCTTCATGATAGACTCCTTTTAAGTGTCTCATTTTTAATTAGATTTTTGTGCCTTTTCAAACTTGGGATCCTGTTTCTTAAAGATAAAGTATCAAAACGAACATTTCCTAGATAATTCTTCTGTGTGTAAGACATGTAAATAGTGAACAAGCCCTGTGTTAACAGCTCCAAGGCAAGATGTTCTGTATGTATTCACTGATTACCATTCACTTTAAAAATAAGTACCTTTTCAATAGGAAACTGACTATACAGTCTTGATCTAAATAAAGCCTACAACTTTGTTGGGGCACAGGGCAGGCCACCCCAAAATATCCCACCATGGCATACTGATTACTTTGAATTAAAGTTACTTGACAAGCAGCTGGTGCAGGAAGGGCCCATTACCCTGGCTTGTTGCCTTGAACGCAGGAAATACACCTCTGCAGTTAGAGGTGCACTCCTTGCTGCAGGGAAGCTGAGGGAGACACCCTCATCACCAGAGGTAAGGAATCCAGGGCCGAAGAGCTTACATAAACAAACCATATTACTCCTTCACTAACTTACTGCCCAAGCCCAAACTCACTAAAGAGCACCCAAACCTAAGTGTATTTATCTTGTCACTTCTTCGAAAATATATTGTTTCTTTGTCTAAAAAAGTAAAATAAGCTGGCTGGCTCATCATTTCTCAGAGCATCTTTACAGTGGAGAGTCCTCACAAATATTACCTCAGACAGGTGATCAAAGTCAATACCAACAGTCAAACCCTGGATGTAATGAGATCCCTGTGATGCGAGAGGGAAAGGAATCATAGACTTTGATGGAAGTTGGAAGGACACAGATGAAGGTGGATGGACAGAGTTTCTGGCAGGAAGCTTAGCTCAGGTATTCTATTATCACAATGACATTGAGATCATTTGTTGAGAATGGCTGTAGGAGATTTCAGGGTTTTGAAAAGAGTGAAGAGGACTTGAAACAGCAGTTGCATAAAATGGAAGAATGAAAGGCCAGGTGAAGTTGACTACCATGAACTAATTTTTTTTTTTTAACCAAATCTTCCTAGTGTACAAGTTTTTCCAACTCTTCTAGGAGGTTTGCTGTAGGTACAAAGAAGCCATATAGTTGGATTCATCCATGGTTGAAGTTTCCTCTGGTGGATAATATCTAATAGTCATTGATAGCATTTATAAATCTTGGGAGTGAGGGAATAGATTCTTGTTAGTTATGAAATTACAAATAAACCAATGGCCAGATATGTTAAGTGATTTGTTTATGATCACTTGAGTAATAAAGAGTGGTTGCAAAAATTAGAACTTGACTCTTCAAAATTACATATTCCTTTCTAGGTGGTGAAAATGCTTTGTAGTTTTTTGGAGAAAAAAATGAGAAAAGTTCCCAAGAAGAATTTCAGGGAATAGTTATTAAGTAAACGACTTTAACACTGTAAACCCTGAGGATATAAAACAATATACAAAAATGTAAAAATTCTAAAAGCCTGGCCTCTAGTGTTTAAAATATACTCAGTATACCTCACTGAAAACAGCCACTGATTATACACCATTTTCTGACTTCCACCATAACCCTGTAGTCATTTTTGATGCTGGTAATGTTTCTTCTTGTTTACATATAACACAATAAAAATGAAAACATATAAAATTATACATGAGGAGCAATGAAAGATACAGATATATAAATATTTATATTAGTTCAGATATTTACAGATATTTGATCTGGTAAAATTGTTATATTACAGACTAAAATGTCTGCTTTAATTATTATTAAACAGTATGTTTATTTTCACTGAAGTTCAGGATATCCACAATATCCTTAACTGCTTGGCTTTTTTCAACTTAAAATTTAAAAATGTAATGATTATCTAATGACTTACGCCAAAGACCCACACTTATCAAAAGTCCAATTACAATGGCTAATAACAGGTGAATTGCTTTTAATGTCGCAGACAATGGACAAGGATTTAATTCAACAATCCCTTGAAGTGGAAAATTATTAT